ATCCTCTAACATTGGAGCCATTGAATGTACTATAGCACTAACTTGGTGGGTCATCTTGATAGTTTAACAGTCCATGGATCTTTTCTTTGTCACCAAATCTTTCATGAATTTAGCATAGCCAGGCATTTTCTCTAAAGCCTCCACCAAAGGCACATTAATGGATAAGCTCTTCATCATGTCAATGAACTTTTTGAATTGATTCTCATTTTTCTGCTTGGCTAGCCTCTGAGGATAAGGGGGAGGTGGCCTAGGCAAGGGTGCCTTGGCTTTTGGCATAACCTGCTCCGGCATGTCTATTACGTGTTCCCTAGACGGGTTCACATCATTTTTTGTTTCCACCTCGGTATCGTGAATATCAATCCTCACTTCTTGATATACGTTTTCATCAACCACATTCTCAACCACTAGAGGAACTTCATCTTCCTGCAACTCAACTTCATCACCCAAAACTTGCTTTTGTTTAGAGGCATTCACATCACCGCCTCTTCCACTCCCTGTAGTTACCGCCATAACATGATTGTTACTACCCTTTGGGTTAACCACCGTATCACTCGGTAGAGCCCCCTTTGGGCGAGTATTCAAAGACTGTGAGATTTGGCCTGGCTGGACCTCCAAATTCCTGATTGAAGTGTTGTGAGAAGCCAATTGTGCATCGGAGTCATCATTCTTTTTCATCATCTGTTCAAACATCATATCAATTCTACCCATTTCATTGTAGGAAGAACTAGAACCCTGGGATGGAAAAGGCGGAGGGTTGCTCGGTTGTTCGTACATTGGGGGCCTTTGAAAGCCTTGCCCCTGATTTCCTTGGTTATTGTTCCATCCACCCTGGTTGTTGTTGTTTCCACCCCAATTGTTGTTGTTGCCCCAGTTTCCCTGATTGTTCCGATTGTTATTTTGATTTCCCCAATTGTTGTTCCCTTGTTGTTGATTGTTCCAACTATTGTTGCCTTGTTGTTGGTTACCCCAATTGCCCTAGGATCTCCATTGTTGTTGTTGGTTAGAAAAATTTCCTCTTTGGCCTTGGCAATTATTCATATATTGCACCTCTTCGTTCTGCCCATCATAAAAATCATGTTGGAATCCACCACAATCATTGTCAAATTGATCCGAATTTCCCTGGTTCTATTGACCTCTCTGTCTTCTATTTTTCACAAGCATGTTAACACCCTCCATGGCATTTACTTAGCGAGGATTCTGAACTTGTTGCAACTGCGCCTTTGCTAATTGGTTCATTGTTGTTGTAAGTTCTGCTATAGCATATCCATGGTCATGTAGTTCTTTGTGTAAATGAGTGACCGTGGGGTCACCCTGTGGCACATTGGCTCTACTTTGCCAAGCGGAGGATGTGTCAGTCATCTCGTCAAGAATAGCACAAGCTTCACCATAAGGCAGCTTCATGAAATTTCCCCCAGCCAACTGATTCACTATGCATTGATTCGTTGTATTGATGCTCCGATAGAAGGTCTGTTGTATCATCGCCTCTGTCATATCATTGCTGGGGCATTCCTTCACCATAGTTCTATATCTCTCCCAAATCTCGTGCAATGGTTCAGTGGGCTCCTGCTTGATGGCTAAGATCTTATCCCGTAGTGCTGCCATGTGCCCCGGTGAGAAAAATTTGGAAATGAACTTATCCGCCAACTCATCCCAAGTTGTGATGGAATGATTGGGCAGTCGCTCAAGCCAATCCAATGCCTTCCGTCTAAGTGAGAATGGGAAGAGCCTCAATCAAAGCGCATCCTCGGACACATTGGTTTGCTTGCTCCCCCAACAGGTATCCACAAACCCCTTGAGATATTTGTAAGCATTTTGAGTGGCAGCGCCCGTGAAGTACCCACGCTGCTCCAGCAATGTCAACATCACATTAGTAATTTGGAAATTGCACGCCCGGATCCAGGGTGGGACAATTGCACTTGCATAGCCTTGGTTTGGGAGCACTCGAGGAACCACTCTTGGAGGTGGCGGAGGAGGGTCTGGAATGTTCTCATTTGCATTGGCCTGGCAGCCTCTACGATGTCCTTGAGGTGCAAGAGGCACCTATTCATCGCCATTGTCATCCTCCTCCTCCCCCGCAATCACTTTTCCAAGAGGATCATTAGCAGTTACTACCATTTTGTACCTGAAGTTGTGGAACAAAAATTAGTAACAAAGAAGGAAAGAAGAACAAAACACAAAACTATTTAGATAGATAGCCAAAATTGTTAGCTCCCCGGCAACGGCGCCAAAAAGTGATCGAGTCCAACCCTACACTACTATTGAGAAGCGAGAGAGGTCAAAGTAGCTTTTATCCGATTTAGGTCGGGATCGATTTCCACAGGGAGCTAGATATTGGAGTTGGGTGTCTATTTGCTCCAAATTGAACTTCTACACATTGTTTTAATTATGATTCTAATTTTATAAACTACAATGCTCAATTAAACTACTATAAGCTAGGATTAAACTATTGCGTGTTGTTCAAATGATTAAAAGGCACTAGGGTAGTGACTTTCGCCTAGGTGGTCAATTGATGGATTCTTGAGTCTAAAGCTAGATTGACACATTTGGGGAGTATGATATAACCATTGCTCGATTCTACTCACTTTATACCTCTCGGTAGTTCTAGTGATTTTGCCCGAATTAGCTTTCTCAGGACCAATTGGGTATGCAAATTTGCACAAGCAATTAAGGTTCAAGTCGGGTATTACGATCTCTTGGCTTAACCCTTTAATTGGGGCTATCAATTCTCTTGAGTACGCCCAATTCCTTGTTAGACTAATTTTAGAGACTTAGGCTCTCTTTCTCAAAAAGAGCAAAAGTCAACTAAATACAAACTAGTGTTTGCAACCACTAATTTAGCAATAAAACATGAAATTAGCCCAAATATCAAACACCCATAGTCAATCAAGCCCTAAAATACAAGACCTATCAATTACCCACACTAGGGTTGAGCCACAACCCTAGCTGACGGGTCTAGCTACTCAAAATTAGAGACAAAAACAAAAAAATAGATGAGGAAAAACTCATATTAATTAATTGCTAAATTAAACTTGAAGATTCAATGTTGAAACACAGCTAAAGTTACTCAAAACAGCTAAAATATTCGAACCCACGAGCGCAACCTTCAGTACTAACTATCTGCTTAACCAAAAAATGGAAAAGAAGCTATTTATACTAAGCTGACATATCTGGACAAAAATACCCCTGCGGGGTTAGTATGGACCGCACAAAATCATATGAGGCCGCACTAGGGCTCTGACTTGACAAAACTGCTCTATGAACTTGGGCAATGCGGACCGCACAGAACGAGTGCGGCCGCGGTGGCTTCTAGTGTGGTCCGCATGAAATGGAGCGCGGATCGCATTGGTCTTCAAACCTGGATTTGGCAACTCTCTGAATCTTCTTTCTGCGGACCGCACTAAATCGAGTGCGGCCGCATTGATCCTAGTGCGGACCGCACAAAACCTCGTGCGGCCGCATTGCCTTTTAGCTTGAATGTCAGCCTCTCTGAACCTCACTTGTGCGGACCGCACAGAATGGTGTGCGGCCGCACTGGCCTTGTTTTGCCTGAGCTTTGTCTTTGTCTTCGTACTTGTGGAAGTTTCACTCCTTTTTGAGCTGATCTTTGACACCTTGTCACCTTTTTGATCAAACCTGCAATCAAGCACAACTTGTGAGCCTTTTGGGACTATTTTGTATACATTTCTAATCAAAACTTAAGCATGAAGGAGTGTAAAATGCATCATATTCCCTTGTTATCACTGTGGCATCGATCATGCGATCGATGTTAGGAAAAGGGAAAGAATCTTTGGGGCATGCTTTGTTTAAATCTTTGTAATCCACGCACATTCTTAGTCTGTTCCCTTTTTTAGGGACTACTACGTTTGCTAGCCATTTCGGGTATTTGACCTCCCAAATAGACCCTATTTTAAAGAGCTTAGTTACCTCGTCCTTGATGAAAGTATGCTTGATCTCGAACTGTGGTCTCCTTTTCTGCTTTATCGGATGGAATTTCGAGTCCAGGTTCAATTTGTGAGTGCTGATCTCCGATGGGATCCCTATCATGTCGAGGTGGGACCAAGCAAAACAATCCATGTTATTTATAAGAAATTGAATAAGTTTTTTCCTGAGCTCGAGTGTTAACCCCATGCCCAGGTATACCTTTTTATCGGGCTGATGCTCAATTAGTCTGACTTGATCCAGCTATTCCTCTATCGATTTGGTAGCGTCGGAATCATCGGGGACTATGAAGGACCGAGGAACCCCGTAATCATCGTCTTCTTTAGTCCCCTGTTTGTCATGTTGGGTCGAGGCCGGCATCGATGATTGTTATTTGGCTTCCTGTTTTGTTTTCGAATTCGGCTCTTCTGTTGATGAGAGTGTTGATAAAGGAATCACTTCATCAACGACAAACATTTCCTTTGCGGCGGGCTACTCCCCGTAGATCGTTTTAATTCCCTCTGGTGTCAAGAATTTCAACACCTGATGAAGGGTCGAGGGCACAGCTCTCATGTTGTGGATCCACGGTCTTCCGAACAGAGCGTTATACCTCCTCGATCACATAAAATTTGTCTCTTGGATAGTTCCGATCGCGTTTACCAGCAATGTTATCTCTCAGTTGGTTGTTTCACAACCCATGTTAAACCCGTTTAGCACTTGGGCTACAGGTATAATTTGGTCCTGTAGGTCGAGTTGTTCTACGACCCTCGATCGAATGACGTTGGCCAAGCTTCCTGGATTATCAACACATGTTTAACTCGAGTTTTATTCATGAGTACAAATATTACCAGTGCATCATTATGGGGTTGTGTGATTCCTTTTGCATCCTCGTCATTGAAAAATAAAGTCGCTTCTGGCATGTAATCTCGAGTCCGTTGTTTCCTCCTGATTGATACTTTGGTGCGCTTAAACATTAGACCTTGAGGAACATCAACCCCTCCCATGATCATATGAATCACGTGTTGAGGCTCTTCTTGCTCGTTTTGTTTATTGGAATCCCTGTTTCTGAAATGATTCTTGGCTCAGTCACTCAGAAACTCCCGAAGATGCTCGTTGTTGAATAACTGGGCTACTTCTTCTCTTAATTGCCGACAATCTACCGTTTTGTGGCCATGGGTGCCATGATATTCGCACATTTGGTTGGGATCTCTTCGGGCTAGATGGGTTTGTAGAGGTCGAGGCCATATGGTATCCTTGATGTGTTCAATAGCTGATACGATGGTGGTTGCATCAACATAAAAGTTATATTCTGATAATCGAGGTTCTTCTTTGGGTCCGATAGGCTTGTCGAAGCTGCTCCTATTCATGAGCCCTCGAGAGCTCTGACCTCGATCACTTCTCCTTTGTGCAAGATTCCGCCCAGGTTCGCTGCTCCCGCGATCTCCACTATATGACTGGTACCGATCTCTGTTCGACCTTGGTTCTCGATCAATATCCCTCTTAATTATGTCGACGGGTCTGAGAGGATAAACGGTCCCGGAAGGAGCCTCAACTTGGTCGTCTTCGACCCTGATCTTCGATTGATACCGATTATGCACATCGACCCAAGTGACAGCCGGATAATCTATCAAATTTTGCTTCAACTGCTGCGAGGCCACCGAGCTTCGAATATTAATTGCTTGGGTGAAAGCTTGAAATGCACAATCGTCGGTGACTGGTGGCAGGTCCATCCATTCTATTAGAAATCGAGACACAAATTCTCTGAGCATTTCATTATCTCTCTGCCTTACCTTGAAAAGATTTGATTTCCTGGTTTCAGCCTTGATGGCTCCAGCATGTGCCTTCACGAAAGAATCTGCAAGTATACAAATGAGTCAATAGAATTAGGCGGTAAACTGTGGTACCATATCATATCCCCCTTCGACTAGGTTTCTCCGAACTTCCTTTGTAAGACAGATTCGATTTAATCATCATCTAGGTCATTCCCGTTGATAACACACGGGTAATAGGTGACATGCTCGTTCAGATCGGTTGTTCTGTTGTAGTTTGAAATCTTAGGCATTCGGAACTTCTTGGGAATCGGTTTGGGAGCCGCGCTCGAGGGAAAGGCTTCTGCGTGAATTTTTTGGAGTCCAGATCCTTCAATATTAGTGGTGCCCCCGGGATTTGATCACCTTGGAGTTGTAAGTTTCCACCTTCTTATCATTTGCCTCGATCTTTTTTCCCCAGACTCAATTCGTTTTTTCAGTTCCTCGAGCATCTTAATGATTGCAGGATCGGTCCCCGACTCTTTGTCGTTCGACTTCTTTGAAATTGATTCGACCCTATAGACAACTTCCTTTGATGGTTCGGGCTAGATCCTGCTCGGCGTGTTATTCTAATTTTAGAGTTGGGCTATCGCTGCCTCTTGGGCCTGCAACATTTCGAAGATCACTCTCAGGTTGATCCCGCCGTCTTTGCCGCCACATGCACTTTGAGCGGCTGATCAAATGTCCCGGCGGACGCTGCCCTCGGGATTGACTGCCAAATTGGCGTTGAGGGTTATATGTGAGCTGACGTC